CCCCCCCCCCCCCCTCTGGAGGCCAGCAGGAGGCCCCGGCTCCCCTCTGGAGGGAGTCGGCTGTCCAGTCCCCCGAACGGGGATCTGATGACCTCCCCCCCGTCTGGACCCTGAGCGGGCCCACAGACCCCCCACTCATGAGCCAAACCCCCCAGTTATCATGCAGAAAACGAGGAAAGACGATGAAACCAGAGGTGTTTCCGCCCCTTAGTAACATACCAGATACGTTTTTTTATGTAGCCTGCTAATAAATACTGTGATCCTTTCAGATCATGTCTTTGAAGGCTCTTCATGGGGATGGGGGGGTACACAATTATCTAGTTAGTTCTATCGTTATTTATTTAACTGCTTAGTTTCATCATTAGTTACTTAGTTAATGATCTTGTTAGTCAGATACATTATAAATTGCTTTTTTGGTTATTTATCTAGTTGGTTCGATCATTAGTTATTTAATTAACTGATTAGTTTCATCATTAGTTACCTGGATGGTTACTGGGTCTGTTGCTTAGTAACCGATGTAGTCAGTGAGCTTCATCATCAGCTTCTTGGTTAGTTTCAGATTTGGCTAAACCAGATGACCCGGATGGGGCCGATGTCATGTCCAGATGTTTACAAGTCAGACCTTCGCTCTGCTCTGGGCTCAAACCATCAGAATAACCCTTTCAAAGCGTGAACGATCAGATGAGTCGGCGATTTTTGTTCTGTCATTCGCCCTCACATCGTCCCACCAGCGGACAGATCAGGAACGATGAGCCACAGAGGTGTTTTTGCTCTTTATTAACATACTCCATAGGTTTCTGTTTGTAGCCTACAAATAAATACTCTTATCCTTTCAGTTCATGTCTTTGAAGGCTCTTAAGGGGATGGGGGGGGGGAGTTACACAGGCATAGAGAGGAAAAATATGTCACTCTGATGTATTAAAGACAACCCAAAAACACTGAGTGGCTGCTGGAGGCCGTCTGGATGGCAGTGAGCGGGCAGATGGATCCAGTTCTACAGAAATGAGGTAAATGGCAGCAGATGCATAGTCAAACCTGTCGGGGGGGGGGGGGTCAGTGCTCCCATTACACAGATCAAAACAAACTCTCTGATTCATGATGAAGGAAAATAAAAATAAAGAGCTCTTTTGAAAAGCTAAGACCAAAAAGATTGTGGGCAGAGCAGCAAACTCTGCCTTTATAAAAGGTTTCAGCCCCCCCGAGTGAGGAGGGAGGGAGCCTCCTCCCCTCCTGCCGGAGCGCCCCCCGGTGGAAGAGGAGGGGCGCCGCCGGCTCCATGCCACCTCTGCCCCCCCGCCCCTCCGTCAGGGGGGGGGCCTGCCGGGCCTCGGCCGGCCGGTCGCTGCTCAGTAGGAGCCATAACGGTCCTGAAACGAGAGGA